TTTCAGACAATCTACAACATTTTCAGGCAATTTACTACTACATTTTACACAAACTACAGCATTTTCAGACAATCTATGACATTTTCAGGCAACTACAGTTTTTTCAGACAATTTACAACAATTTCAGACAAACTACAACATTTTTAAACTTGAAGTATAACCAACAATGTTATTTATTCATCATATTCAGAAAATCTACAACATTTTCAGATAATCTATGACATTTTTAGGCAACTACAGCTTTTTCAGACAATCTACGACAATTTCAGACAAACTACAGCATTTTCTAACAATCTACGACAAATTCAGACAAACTACAGCATTTTCACACTTCATGTATAACTAACGACATTATTTATTCATCAAATACAGCAAATCTACAACATTTTCAGACAATCTTTGACATTTACAGGCAACTACAGCTTTCCCAGACAAACTACAACATTTTCAGACTTTATGTACAATTAACATTATTTATGTTGTTAGTTTTGTATATTTTTAATAGTACTTCTGCAAAACTTTCAACTTTAGCTATGGCTTACATTATATTTTTGTCGTTTACTTCATAAGTTTTAATATTTTGTACATTATTATGCTTTGTAGTTTTATCCATTAAGTAAGAGCCAAACTAGAAATCAAACCGTAAAGAAAACTTATCAAAGTTTTTTAAATAATAATTATTAAAATTAATAGAAGTTTTTTAAACACTACTTTCTTTTCCTTTTTAGTTTTAATAACAATCGCGTAGAATTTATCAAAGTCTTTTAAACACAACTTTGTCTTACTTTATAATTTTAATAAGAAGCAAGTAAGTATAATTATATATCAATTATTACCTGTATAATATTCAAAATGCTAATATAGCATTGTGATGATAACCTATCAGGGCTTGTAGAAACCATCATGTTTTTAGGCTGCAGCAATCTTCTCATAACATCCAGCACTGTAGTTTTTCTAACATTTACAGTCTAACAAAAAAAACAGAAACAATATTATCATAAACCATTTGTAACTACAAACATGTTAATATTTATTACTTACATCATTTTCTGTAGACAATGGTGTGTATCCGGTCATTAAGAAATGTAACCGTGGTGTTGGAATCAGAGGCGCAATTAGTCCAATCAGATCATTATTCATGTAGGAAGGATATCTGTAAAATAAACATAATATAATGGATAGATTTTATTTTTACTTGTACTTGCTAAAAATTTTTTGTAGATTTTAATTACTTTTAAGTTAAAAGTGAGGGATTTGAAAATCAAATTAAAGAAATAAAAATGAATTAAACAAATATATAATAATAGTAAATAGAAATATTAATAATGATAATAAATAAATAAAATAATAATGACACAAAAAATAATACAAAAATAATTAATATCTTAAAACAAAACAATTACTGTTTAATACGGAAAGTTAATACATAAAAGAATTAATAATGATAATAATAAAATAAGAGTACAAAAATAATGGACATATAAAACAGAACAAAATTTAGTTTTTTTAATTACATATAAGTTAAAAATCAAAACAATAAATAAATTAAATACCTTATAATAATAATTATAATAATAATAAATGAACTAATAAATAAAAATATAATAATGGCAATGATAATAATAAAATTTATATTTAAAATAATAAAATATATTTTATGGATAAATTGTAGCAGTCTAAATTTGCAAAATTCTAGTATATATATATTTCTTTATTTTTTAATATTTTGCCCTAATATTTATATTTTACCTTAGAGTGGTTGTAGAGACTGACATAATTGTAGAGACTAGAGTATTGATTTGAGTAAACGTAGGATTTTGTATGTGCAATCGATCAGTAGCAATCCGATTCAAAGCAGTGTTGTCCAGCACAACAAACACAATCAGCAGAAGAGTGAGACGCTTCAAAGTCAACATGGAATTGTAGGGCTGAACAACCACATCACTAAAATGGTAACCGACAAAAATATAATAGAAAGTTAAAATTAAACTTTATCATCATAATAGTAACCTCATTTCCTCCTGATTAGGGAAAACACTGTAAGTCTGCACAAGTTTTTTTGGAAATCTGTCTGATAATCTTTCAAGAATATAGGAACCCATTCCGGAACCTGTGCCACCAGCAATGGAGTGACATAGAACAAAACCCTGAAAAAATAGTGTATAAAATATAAATTAATCCTAAATATTTATAATTATCTTTTGAATACAAATAATAGCTGTAAAAATAAAAGAAGTAGATATTTTTTAAGTAAAACTTCTTTAGGCGCGACTAGGGTGTAAATCCGTACAAATGCAACGGAAGTGCGTTACGGCAGATAAAAGTCGAGTGCCAATGATTCGTCATTCGCTCTCGATGATATCATTTTTATACGGGTCGATTTTGATTAGACGTCGTATATGTGAATAGAGATCTGTCGTTGTATGTGTAACGGCATCAACGTTGTATGCGTACCGATATCAACAAGGAAAAACGGCATAGATAAATAAACATTTTAAAGTTACATCGTAGTATAAATCTTGATTTAATGAAAAATGCCTGAATCAGAAGAATATTTTAACCTGTTCCTTGAAAATAATAAAACAAATTAAACATTTGTGTCGTGGGCTAAAAATTAAAAATTATTTCTATATTATACAGATCTGTATAAGTACATCAATGTATAAGTAGTTTCTATAATTCTTTGAAGTTATTAAAATGGAAAATATTTTTAGGCAAGACAGATATTACAGCTGTTCAAAGAATGAGATTATATCGCCAGCGAAAAAGTAAAAAAAATACAAGCAGTCAATGAATGTATGTTAATCTTAATTACATGAAGTTCTTCAAACACAATTACATGATGAGTGATGTGGTAAAAACAATATTTGTTTAGGCGTTGTTTAACATAATCCACTGTGTGAACGAATATTATAGAATTTATTAATCAGCAATTACTTCATTTCTCTAATGAAGGTTCACTTCTAAATGCCAATTACAATGACAAACCGATCATGTCATATTTGAAGTATGACTTTAATTACATTATTGTTTTTAAATATTATACATATTTTTAATGCTATTATAAATATATAATTTATAATTTATCATTATATAAATGTGTATAATGGTTGACACTAATAAATGTGTGCATTATGAGTGTTACCATATTACTAATAAACATTATTCAAAATTGTTATATGATGTATTTATTTTTACTTAAATATCATCTTGTACAGTAGCAAATAAGTTTTACTTCAATCGCGTGTGAACCTTACGCGCACTCTTTTTGTTTGTTTGTTGGATTCTCATTAAAAATATTGTGTGATCTTTTAAATATCGCTATCAAATTAAATTGTTATTATATAATCTTGTTCCTAATAATCCACTAAGTATTAACCCTTCCCACTCGGATGCCGCCTTCCCATTCGGCATCATATTAATAAAATTCATATAAATTTCGAAATTCGCGAGTGGAAAGGGTTAAAATCAATATATACACTATTAAACAATTATTGTTAAAAATATTTTTTTTTATCATTTATTACCTCAAGGCTATCACTCCCATCAGCTTCTCGATCAATAATATCAAACACTTCTTCCTGCAATTTATCACCTTGTTGGTAACCAGACGCCCAATTATTACCAGCTCCGCCTCCATCTTTGGACAAAAATATATTTTCAGGATTGTACAGCTTAGCATAATCTGAATTCATTATCGAATGGATGACACGAGGCTCCAAGTCCAGCAATACTGCTCTGGGGATGTAATGGTCATCATCGGCCTGGGATAAAAGAAATATGATAAATGATAGTTTATATTTTATAATAATCAACATCAGTCTGGGGTAAAGATAATATATATATATATATATATATATATATATATATATATATATATATATATGTGTATATGTATATGTATATAAATATATGATAAATAGAGTAATTTATATTTTAGCACCAACCTGGTAAAAGTATACATCTTTTCTGTCAACTCCGTCTGTGGCAAAACTTTCCAGAACACCTGAAGGAGATATGCCGTGTTCTAAACATAATCGTTTCCAGAACTCAAAACCAACTAAAATAATGAAGTATTTATTAATAAAATGAATCTAGATAAATTAGAATAGAATAGAATAGAATAGAACTATATTAAAACTCAATAAGACCATAATTCAAATTGTATCAATATTAAGAAAAACTATGAATAAAAATTCATAGCTTAGATTTGTAATCGAAAAGCTGTAACTTTTACAAAATTTTGTAGTAATTTTGCTTATGGCATAAATAGTTATAATAAATTATATTACCAAAAGACCATAATCAAAATTGTATTAATCATAGGAAAAACCATTACCAAATAATCATAACTTAGATTTGTAATCAAGAAGTTGTAACTTTTACAGAAGTTTTGTAATAATTTTTTCTTATAATACAAATATTTCTAATAAATTATATTATAAGAGAAGACCATAATTGAAATTAACCATTAATCATAGAAAAACCATTAACAAAGTATCATGGCTTAGATTTGTAATCATTACATGATCCTTTGTTAATGTTTTTCCTATGATTAATACAGTTATTCAATTATGGTCTTCTAATAATATAATCTTATACACAAAAACGTTATTAAACGGGCTGCAAGTGTTACTAGAAACTCAAAATATCAACTTTTTTGAAATCTCAATATGAAAATGCACTTTTTGGCATATTTTTCTCAAACACAATGCTCTGAAAGATCTCATTTGTATAATTATATACTCATTGGTATTTATAAACCATTTTCTATGTTATATTATTTTTCATTTATGTTATTTAAATTTAGAACTAAAATTTGGTATCAATCAAAGGAACATTTTGCCGAATAACATTTTCCCAGTTATAATTTCCCAGAATTTATCGAAGAATAGATAGAAATATATGAAAGTCCGGTGTTAAAAAGGTCCACCATTGATGTGTCAAAAACCAGTTAAGTTAAGCATTGTTTAACAACAATATTTGAAAGTAGAGGGAAAAAGATGTATAACCAGCGATAACCTTGATTCTAATGACGTTGCTATCGGGAGATAAACGGTAATCTTTGAAAATACACAATAAAAGTATTTTATTCCGTTGGTAGTTTTTTAGCATTAGTTAAAAATGTAATTATTTAGTAAAATACCTTTAAAATTAAAATAAGACATTAAAAAGCCACCTGGCCGTTCCAAGTTATTATGCCTATAAGGTAAAAAAAAGGTCTAGATAACAAATTTTTGAAAGACAGCAAAAAAGCACATTTCTATAATGATGAAGTAGCTGGCAGATTTACTGAACGTAGTCAGATAATTGTTCGTTTGAAATGTGTTCTTTGTTGTGATATAATTGGTTTGATTTTTATCATATAATTAATATTTGCTCAAAGTCAAATTGGACGTTTGTGCCCCACCCTGCTCTACATATATACTTTTTATTAAATTTACTTTAATTCATCAAATGTTACTTAAAACTTTTCAAAAAGCAGGTCAAAGAAGAAATACTTAATTCATTTTCTATCTCTCCTCGCAGAAATTTGAAAACTTTGTATAAGCTCAGTATTATTATTTACAATTATACACAAAATCCAGAATCCAAAAAGAATCTGAAAAACTTGAAACATAATCAATAAGTGTATTGACAAAATATAGACAAGCTAATGGGGTTTATTGTTTTTATATTAACTCATTGTATAGAGCTTTCAAACAACACATCCTCATACACTTAAAGTATTAATATTTTTGATTCTCTAGAAATTGATTATAATATACCTTACTTAGCAAAACAACGCTTGCTGGGTCAGCTAGTTTATTATAAATATTTGTGCCGTGAGTGAAATTATTACAAAACATTTGTAAAAGCTACAACTTCTCGATTACAAATCTAAGCTATGATCCTTTGTTAATGTTTTTTTCTACGATTAATACAATTTTAATTATGGTCTAATAAATACAATCTAGTATAAATATTTGTGCCATAAGTAAAATTGTATTAATCTTAGGAAAAACCATTAACAAAGGACCATAGCTTAGATTTGTAATCGAGAAGTTGTAACTTTTACAAAAGTTTTGTAATACTTATGACACTTAAGAGGTTATTGTTATAAATTTCTGGGAAAAGTAAATACATTATTATAAAAGATATATCAATATGACTGGCACAAAAAATGTCAAAAACTTTATGATAAATATGTCAAATTATAATATATTTCTCTCAACGTTTCTTTCTTTATTACCATTGTTTATTAGTAAACAAATTGATTGATTTATTGTTTATTAGTAAACAAATGGTGATTTGACAGATTTTGGTTATGTTTTTCAAAAATCTTTGGACAAGCCTTAAACAACATAAAATACATAACTTTACATAGAATTCCATAAATATATCACATTATTCTCAAAACATTCAGGTATTTATCATTTATCACATTTATCATAAATCAATTAGCATCTGACATCTGATACAAAATTACACAAATGCACAAACATATATAAATATTTGAAAATTATAATTTATACTTTGGTTTCCGCACTGCCCCAACTGCAAAGTTATCATTTCACTCGGCATCTTGCTTTATTTATTTATATTTTATTAATAATTAAAGATAACTTGTGCAAAAACAACGACCGTTCATGTTGTTTTGACAGCTTGTGTTTCTTGAGCAGGTTAGCCAACCGTACAAAGATTTCTGAACATTTAAAATTCTTTTTGAATTTATGTAATTTATTTAGTAATTTAAATTAATTTAAAAATTAATTAGTTAACTAAATAATAATAAAAACAAATAAACAATCAAATTTTGATGATAATTAAATTGAAGTATAAAAAATTTGTTGGCGCAAAAATTTTGTGCAGCCAACATAAAAGGTACAGCTGAAATTGTCGTTGAAATTTAAATTTAAAATGTAGAACAAAATGTACTTTTTTTAAAAAAAAAACTAGGTTAAAATGTTATCTTTCTTAAGATAAACTACTCAATATCTGTTAATTATATCTTATTATAATATGCATTTGAACTTAGAACATACACATTGCATGTTTGAAGCACATGTCCAATTATTCCAATCTTTAATACATTTTTATAACTATATGTAAACCAAATTTAAATGCTTTTTCTAGGCCTATAATAGTTGTTAAAACTATGAGCTCTTTCTCTATTCAAAGTTCGTTAAAATCGTCAAAAACAAATCGTTTAAACATTGTTTATTTGTTTAAATGAGTTGCTTTAGAGGATTAAATACACTTTAAGACTCTAGGGTGTATAAACAAAGGTTTATTAAATATAGATTACACATTGTAAAATTAGAAATGTATCTAAGATAGAGTCCATAGATTAAAGAAGCAGAAAAAAATTGAGAAGTAGAAAAGAAGAGTCTCTTTATCTTTCTTTGGGCATCTTCGTGTCTCTATGATACTCTTTGTCCAGGATAGAGTCCATATTTAAATGAAGAGTAAGAGGGGTAAGAAATAAAAAACAAGAGTTATCTTTCTTCGGGTATCTTCTTGTCTTTATGATCTCTTTGTCTAAGATAGAGTTCATATTTGAAAGAAGAGTAAGAGGAGTAGGAAGTAGAAAACAAGAGTCTCTTAATCTTTCTTCGGGCATCTTCTTATCTCTATGATACATTTCGTCCAGGATAGAGTCCATATTTAAAAGAAGAATAAGAGAAGTAGGTGACAAAAGTTTTTTCATCTTCTTTGGCCATCTGCGTGTCTCTATGATACTCTTTGTCCAGGAATATAGAGTCCTAAATGCCCTAGTGATGATAATTACAAAGAACCCCCCAATCTTCATAAAGAGACAAATTTCTTCTTTGAAATATAATAAATAAATATTAAATATGACCAAATTACTTAAAAAAAATATTTTATTATTAATATTTCATGGCATTTAACTAGTGCCATACTCAGTTTAAAAAAATCTAATTAATCTTTTACCATTAAATATTATTATGTATAATACAACACACAATGGAAAATACATATTGCAAATGAGTCCGAATTTTAATTTGTGTTTATTTGATTAAAATCTTTGCTATTTACTCACCAGTGTCTCTACATAATGCTTTTTTATTTCTTTTCTGTAAAATTTTATATTAATTCTTGCTCTTGTTTCATGAAACAATAATATTAATTATCTAAAGTCTTATTTTATTTATATAGTTTAAATATAATAAATTTTTACTTTAGGTAGTTAATAATTGCAAATTGTTCCTACTAAATCACTATTATTTGTATTCAAAAAAATTACACAAAATACATACATTTATATTGTTCCACAATTAGTTAAAGCATTTCTATATTGTCTAAGAAGGACACATTTCATTTCCAACACTAATATATACACAGATATTAATAAAAATAATGTTTCTTTCTTATAATTAACCTCTTGTATCAATTTCCATCTTGCAGTTTCAGTGCTGTGACACACTTTGATATATATGGCATCGTATTAGCCTTCGATTGCACCCCCATTCTAAACAACGTTTGCAAAATCAGCAAACTATGTTCTTGTAAGCATATTATATAATCCTGGATCCTTTCCAAGCTGCTGGTTCTAATATCAGGATCACTAGACTTCAAACTTGTCATTAAAGATGTGAAACATATATTTGTGCAGGGTAGACTCTGTGGTGAATATTTTAGATGTCTTAACAACAATGTGTGGCTTAAGTTACGTACATTTTGGCTTGTAGAATTTATTAATGCACAAATAGGCTCTATTATCTTGATTAACAATTCAGGTTTTTTGTTTGTTATGTGATCTAGTTCTTGCAAAGCTGCTATGACTTCATCAACTTGCACTTTTGATAAAGAGTTTGCTAAAGTGTTGAATTGTATCGGGCAAGGTTCTGCTTGTACAGGTAGAATGTTCATGGTGACCATTCCCATCTCCAAACACATTTCTTCGATGTTGTTTTTATGTGCTTTGTGCTGGTGTAAAAGGCTGACACCGTTTGCAATGTTCTTTAAATTTTGTAAGTGTGGTAAAGTTATGTGTAAATCTTGTAGAGTACTGGAATGTGTTTTTATATAACCCAAAGCACGTTTTGGACAATAGTTTATATAATTTTGTAACAAATTAAAGAATCTAACAGCTAAGTTTGTTAAATCTTTGATAAAACTTATGTGTCTTCTAAACAAGTTGATGTACAATGAAATTATGATTTCTAAATCTTTTTGATGCTCTTTTCTAAACAACATTGGTGTCAACAACTCCAAAATACCTATAATGTGATTAAACAAAGCTAAATGATACCTGCTTCTAAATTGTGCAAACTCCAGATGTATCCTGCCTTGCAACGAGCTAGCAATCATCGACAGGTGTCTCAAAACTATATTTGGATGCACTGCTGATACTTTTCTTGCCAGCATATCTAAATCCTGAGACTTCCGATGCCAATCTTTAAGCAAAGGAGTTGATGATAAAGCTGTAAATATAGATTGGCACATTGTATCAATTTTACAACTCGTTACAGAATGTTTAACATCAGTATTGTTCACCACAAAGTTTAAACCAGGTTGGTACAAAACTATAACAGGCATTATCATGTACAATTGGATCAGAAATTGTGCAACAACTCTACGCCTCTCAAGTTCTATGTCTTTACGTACCAGCTGCATATACAAATACTGCACAATAACTTTGACAATATGCTGATCGTTCCTCATACAATGCAAAAGCAAAGGCAGCCTCAAATCAATTCTTTTGATCACATCATCTTTGGTGCCTGTTTTGTAGAAACACAAAGCTTCAAGCAAAGCGTAATCCAAGACTGTCAGAATTTTGTGTATTGACAATTCCAAAACATCTTCTGTAGGATTACGTTTGGAAATAACTTTGTCACGGCCTTGCCAAAGTTTTGGATTGGATATTAAAGTCATTAGGAAGTCTAAAACGGCTGAAGAGTCGTAATCTAAATAAGTTTTTGATAGTAGGAAATTCACGCAGTGTGCTAACGTAGACCAATTAGCCTGGTGCGTTAATAAAGTTAGTAAATACGGTCTGAAGCCCTTTTTATCAGCTTTGCTGCTAAACAACAAGTCCATTTGCACTTTAGAGTTGGAATTAACCATGTTAGGTTCAATTGCAGCAACCCAATCGATCAACATGCCGTTCTTTTGACTGCGTTCAATCTGCGTTTTGAAGTCACTTTGGGAATCCAAGTCACTATCATCTTCCAACAACCAGGAACAAATACAATCGACAATTTGTGAATCTTGTACATCGTTGTTGGCCTTATTTAAAACTAAATCTTTAATATAAGACTCCAAATTTTCGATAGGGGTTGTTTTTAAATTTGTTATTGTGTTGATACCACTTTTCGGCGCATCGTTTTGCAAAATGGTGTTTCTTAACAACCGGTACAACACTTCGCTGGTGTCAAACATCACGTTTGTTTTAATAATGGCTTTATGAAAAATACAAAATAGCAAGTCTTTAACAAACTCCGAGCTGTTGGATAGTAATAAATGAAACAACGATAACAACAACGGCGATTTTACAACAAACAAACTCAGCAATCTATCATCATCCAAGTCTTTTATAAATTTCAAAACCTGAAACAGAACAGAATTGGACCTTAAAGTCTTTTCCTTCTGTTCCACGGCTATTTTTCTCAAAATCCAACTGGTGTATTCTGTAGAACTATTTGGTTGTTCAAACAACATTTCGTTTAGAACAGAACGCAAAGATCTTTGTTGCATTTTTGGTTTGCAGAAGACAGGATTTTTGTGAATATAAGATGTAATGTCGATGTCTTGAAGACGTTTTAATAAAATTATGGGATACTTCTCTTCTTTGATGTTGCAGACTCGAAGGAAAACTTTGCCATCGGCTACTCCTCTCATGTGTTGGACAGCTATGCACATGCCGATGAAGGGCTTACCATTTTCCATAATCTGGAAAGGAATAATATCATAAACTAGCTGTAAGTGGAATTCTGTCTTAAGGCAATTGAGTGCCTTAAGGCAAATTGCTGGAACTTCCCGTACCAAAAATTATTATTTTTTTAAAAACGATTGACATTTTTAGAAAAAAATCACTTCGAAAAAATAAGATAATTGAGAAACTACAAATTAAATAATAATGTTTTCTTTATTTTGGGATATTTTGGAAGATCTGAACTTTTTTTCAAAGCAATCGTACTGCTTTAACTGCATAGAGACAAAATGTCAAAGCGCGTAAGCGCCGCGTCGCCGTCTAACGAATAAACATTGGTACGGAACCCATAGGAATGCAAACAAAATTCATACTTATTGTTAAAATCTCTATAAAATATCTGATAATTTGATGTGCATATGTCTAATGATCATTTTTGACCGCCAAATGGCATTTTTTTTTTTACTTTTTTCGTTAGATCTCCAAAACCGCTAGACCTGCCCTCATGAAAATTTGATCAATTCTTCATCTTGTCAATAAAAGTCAAATGTTTTTTGAATTATTAAAATCGGACACTCCGTTTTCTTAAAAACTGAGTTACCGTTTTCGGCACTTCTTGCCCCGTATCTTTGGAACGGCTGGACCTGCGTTCGCCAAAAACTAATCAGCACGTCTTCTTATCAATACGAATCGAATGCTTTTTGGATTATTCAAATCGGTTGATCCGTGTTCCCGAAATCGTCGACGAAAATTTGTATCCGCACATACATACACACACGTACATACACTCACACACACATACATCCATTTTTTCTAAGGTATGCCAAAATGTTCAGAAACCTCTGAAACGTAAAGATATATAAAAATTTTCATTTTCGATTTTTTTGTGATTACTATAACTTGCCCTGCGGGAAGTTAAAAATAAATATAAAGTCTAGTTGTAAGTGGCATTTTGCCTTAAGGCGAGTTGCATAAACTTCCAAACATAATCATAATCAACTTAATCAATAAGAATTGAGATTCATCTATTTAGGTAAAATGGAAAATTGGGAACTCAAACTTGGCTTTCCTGCTAATTACAAAGAAACGGCTCGGCAGATAGTCGCGCAAAGCTGATAAACGTCCGTCCTTATCGAGTTACATCAAATTTTTGAAATCGGTCTAGCCGTTTTTGAGAAATATCCCGGCCGATCTTCTACGAATACTTATTAGCATGAGTCTCAACTGATATTTTCTATCTAAATTTTCAAAATTGGTTAAGAATTTTCACGAGAAATGTTGCATTTATCTGCTAATTTTAAAGGAACGTCTTTGCTGATCATTGCGCCAAACAAATCAACATGAGTCCTGATCAAATTTTATGAAATCGGTGCAGGCTGCGTACAAAAGATCAAATTTTATCAATTTCGGAATTACTATGGAAACATGGACAAAATATAAAAATAAACATCAAATTTTCTGATGAAAAACAGTTAATAAAAAAAATGAGTCTTTAATACAAAAAAATTCCTCTCCTACCTGTCCAGCACAAGCTGCCTGTTCACTAGCAGCCCAATTGTCAAGCACCTTCAAACATTTGCCCATGGACTGCAACGAGTAACCAAATGATTGCATAAACATCAACAGTTGAACTGGTCTGATAGATCTAAGACTTGCATCAACTAATCTCTGGACAGGTGATTGAACCATCCTCAAAAGTATCCAATCGGGATAAAGAGAATTCTCTTTTATTTCATTGGTTGTTGCATCATAGGTAAAACCTGGACGATGTTTAACAGATATAAGAAAATGATATTAATATATTGTATGTGATTTATCTCCTACCTCTGGGTACTAGTTTAAGGTCTGCAGGAAACCAAGCATCGAGCAGCATCTCATTAAGACTCCTATCACCTCCACCGTACGTCAGCAGCAAAATCATGGCATGAACAACATTCAAAACCATAAAACATTCCTCACCTGTACTCCATTTAATCAAATACACGTCCTGAGCATCCTGAGGAAACACATTAGTCTCATCTCCTCGTGGGATTTTTACCCTGTTCAAATAGCTACAGTACAAAGTGAGCAGAGAAGTTTTTGCTTCTTCATTTAGTTCTCTGTTGGTCATAATGGAATTCATTAAGATTACTCTTTCAACTACCAGCTGGGCCAAGTCAAGAACCAGCTCCGACATTTCTTCTTCAGAGCAAGTTGTGGTGTGTTGGGCTAAGAAACGAAGATAATGGACAATGTTTTCAGGGATCATGTCGATTTGACAGGCTGCTCTGAGTGCCGTTATTACCTGAAAGAAGATTACACAATGATAATAGCTGATACATATGAGTTATGTTTTATTTATTACCTGCGTCCGGATATGTTCAAAATGAGGCACCATTGGTAGTTGCTTAATCAGCCATCCACTCCCTCTTGCCTCATCTGTGCTAACACAACTCAAAAGCATCTTAAGTCCTTTAACCGATTGCATCCTGGATGACTTTTGAGGAGAAGCAAGTCTTCTCAAGAAATAATCCAACACCTCACAAGCAGTTTGCGGCGAACACTCCGGATTGGTTACCAGTTCTTGTAAGTGATGAAGTAATTGAATATGTTTATCCTGGTTTCCTCCTGCAGGACTCAACAAGAACTCACACAAGCACTGGACTGGTAATAAAGAAACACTTTCCGAGTTTTCAACTAACTCTGCAAGCCAGGGCATGCTTTGAGAGTTTCCTTGGCGTTGGATGATGTCCATTAGAAAATCAGGTTCTCTGGACCGACAGAATAAGTGACCAAGGTTATGTGTTTTGTTCAAAAGTGCTAAGTTTTCCAGAACGTTTGATGTTGGTTTTCTTGGAGGACCTGTAGGGTCATAACGCATCAATTGATTTACCAAAAGACTCGTTTCTTCTGTTATTTTCATTTGGGTAGTAGCAGCAGCTAAATGAGTTTCTAGTTCTATTATTTCCTGTTTTTCTAAGCGCTCAATCTCGCGTTCCTCAGGAAAGTTTTGGCCGCACAAAGATGTTGGTGGAGGATACACGAATTGGTTCGTGATACACATTTCCATTAAAGTCCTTAAAATAGGATATTGTTCCCAACAAACGACTCCTATAGACATTGGATTGTGAGCTGCTAAAATTAAAACAATACCCCAAGCTTTCCAATAAGGCACCGTCACAGCTAATGTGGGAGGTGAATAGCCGTAAGGCAAAGTTATGTTGTCTGGGTAATGATATTGTGTCAGTCTAAACAAGTTGTCAATTATTTCAACTTTATCAAAGTGCATTAAAGGTAAATAATCTTGCGTCAAGTCCCCTGAACGTTTAACCATCTGTTCACAGATTTCCAAAGCATCCATTGGAGGCATTGGACAAGATTTCTGTTGCCCAATCTTACACAACCTCAACAAAGTGTTCTGGTGTACACGAACTTCCCCAACCAACTTAAAAAACAAACCGCGTTCAGACTCCGGAGGCCAAGTATCAATTTTAACATAAGGCTCGTAATTATTTTCTAAAAACAACAATTTTCGTATGTGCCCTAAATATTCTGGTGTAGGCGGTTTATACAAACCAGGAACTACTTTCTCCATCCAACGTATTGCCTCAAATTGGATCCTTGACACTTGCAATTGATACGATTGCAAAACATTCAAGTCTTTTTTATCTCCACGAGAGCATGAACTGGAAGCTTCTTTTACTTGTGGTGAGATTCCTAGAAGCATGCAGAGACAGAATAAGTCTGAGATGGATGAGAGTACACGGTCACGAGCATCAAAGTTTTCCACATTGGTGTTGAAAGCTCTGTCTTTGGAAACAAGAGTGAAACAAAATAGGTATAAGTTAACGTCGTATCTTAAAGCGCGGACGAGTTCTCGCAGGAATAATCTCAAAGCACGCAAACAGTCGTCACGATTTAATAAGTATTCTTTGTAGATTTCTGCTAAAGCAACAGGAGCTTTGTCCGGTTGTTCTTGGAACATCAAAACAACCATAGAGATGTTGTTCGGGTTTCTAGCGTTCGAGAACTCGTTGAATATTGTATGCTTCATTAACAAATTCATAATTTCAACGTTTTCTTTAACAATAGCTTTTAAACAACTTAGATAACTGTTGCACAACGGTTTTGTTTTAAGTCTAATCTTGACATACTGTATGACAACTTCTATATCTTTCTGTGTCTTTGTTCCAAAATTATAGCATAAATAAGCCAGCAACTCCTGAGCTGGCTTCATCAATTTAGCATTGTGCAACCAAACTTCCAACCTGGACACTGCTAATAATCTAATCTCCACCAAACCACAAGCAGCTGACATCAACTTCAATGTGTTCTTGGTAACAAAATCAGTTGGAGACGTTCTTTTATTTATAGAATCTTTGAGCATCTCAACCATGTATGTCTCGATACCATCACAATTCGCGTATCTCTTCATAATCCTTGCCTCGATGTCCTGACTTTGTTTTAAAGGCATCGGTGAGTTCTCGCTTGATTCGTCGTCGGACATTGTTAAAGGTGAGCTTACGCCTGATACAACTAAACCACTTTTAGCAACCTCTGTTGATTCATTTTGCAACAAATGTTGAGCTGGTATGATTGTATTAAAGGCAGTAAGCACATTTCCGACAAACAATTTGCAATCGTCGTGATCCACCCAAGCTCGTTCATTTAAAGCATCTTCCACGTAACACTTAACAAAATTAATAGGCCAGTCTTTTTTGTCTTGGTATGCCCGAGCTAATAAGTTAGCAGCTAAAACTGGCACTTGCAAGTTTGTCCTGGTTTTGATATTGGTATTTGATTCACGTTTCAACAAACTGCACAAGGCTGATGTAATCGTGCTATTCAGGAATATTTTAGGTCTCAATTTACCTAAATAGCACAACCCGAAGTACAAAACCGAATCAAACTTCCACCTGGGACTTTTCATTAATTTTAAAGCCCCACAAATGGTATTGACAACAGTCTCAGTTTGATTATCATCATGAGCTTGTAGAACTAAAATAACTAATTCAGGAGCTTCAAATTCAGCCGTATGAGCCTCCCAGGGTTCTACAACAGGCGCAGTGACAGTCGAAGCGCTTTGAGGGTAAAGGTCTAGTTAGAGCAGTTACTAATTTTGGTTTTTTGGAAGGCACCGCACTAGCGCTCGACGTTGGGGCTTCACGTTTGCTAGCAATTAGGGAAGAGACTTTACTAGAGCTTGAGGAGTCCCATTGGGGTTTGGAAATAGGCATTGAGGTATTGCGTTTGTCTGAAATATCTTTGGAAGAGCTTGACGACTGCTTGGAACCCAAGGCAAACAAATCTCCTGCATGGTGGGATAATTTAGATTTACCCGAACGTTGGGAAGGGTTTAATTTACGATCCATTTTTAACAACTGTTTTTATCTGAATTACTTTTATCGATTTAATATTTAATGTGCCGCAAGTTCGCTGTATCATAAATTTCTTTTGAATTTTGATGCTTTTCTATATAATCAAGAGGTAACATCAAATCTTCATCACGATACTCAACATCACATAAGTACAAACCATGAGGTGGCATTGATCTTACACTGGTACACCAGGAATATGGTGAGGGAACTTGAAGCATCGTAATGACATCTTGTTCAGTTATTCTGTGCTGTGCGACTGCTAATAAGACTCCTACCATGCGCCTCACCTAAAGGGAGAAAAATAAACAACATATAAACTAATTGCCTTAAGTTGCTTTTGTTTCCCAATATGTATAATTATAATCATATTTAGGCAATATTCAACTGTTAATTAAAAAATATTTTTTTCTGTAATTGGCGTATTTCAAACGTACTTATACTATTTGTTAAAAATATTTTGTTTAACACATTTGATGTTCTTAAAATACAGTTAATTTTTATTATTAAGTGTGGACGTCAACTATAATCAGTAGCTACCTACAAAGCACCAAAGAATGTACATATGCTTCAGCATAGATTCTAATTGGAATCCCTTAAGCACACAGCGAAATTCGAAGGCCTATAATATTTTAGTATGTTATTTTAGATTACGAAATCTATTTTTATACAAAGTTACACCAAAATCATTAAAAAATCCAACATTTAATTACGAAGAAACGGCCCTGCCGATCTTTAGCAGAAACGCGATTCCCAACCAATGTCTTTTGAACAGTTTTAAAATTGTTTCAAAATTGTGCACTAAAGCGTGGACAACATTTTTACACTGTTTTGCTAATTATAAAGAAACGGCTCCGCAGATCGGCGCGCAAAACTAATCGATGCTAGTTCTTGTCGAGATACATCAAATGGCTATTACATTTTTAAAATCGGTCCAGTCGGTTTTTGAAAAAAAAACGTCGATAAGTCAAAAATCGGCTCACATACACACACATACTTTTCCAATTTTGGTCTCATTTGATTTAAAAAATAAACTAGTTGTGCATGGCATCGTGCCTTAAGGCAAATTGCTGGAACTTCCCGTAACAAAAACTAAAACTTTAAAAATCCTGAGCTTGTAGAACAAAAATAACTAATTCAGGAACTTTTAAAAAATCTTAAAATGTTCTTTAAAACATTGAAAAAATAAAATTTTTGCAAACTTTGAAATTTTTGAAAAAAAAAAGACTTTTTTGAACAATTTGAATTTTTTTTTATAATTTGAATTTTTTTGAAAATTTTGAACTTTTTTAATGATCATTTCTGACCGCGAAATGGCATTGTTTTTTACTTTTTTTACTAGATCTCCGAAAACCCTAGAACTGCCTTGTTGTTCATTCCGTCAATACAAGTAAAATGTTTTTTGAATCATTCAAATCAGACGCTCCGTTCTCTTATAAACTCGATTTCTATGGCTGGACCTGCCTTTGCCAAAAACTAATCAGCACATCTCCCTATCAATAGAAATCAAATAATTTTTTAATCATTCAAATAGGTTGGTCCGTGCGCCCGAAAACGTGGACGAAAAATTGTATCCATACATACATTTTTTATAAGGTATGCCAAAATGTTCAGAAACCTCTGAAACGTGAAGATATGCAAAAAATTTCAATTTCGTTAATAAAAGTTAATAAAAGCACCAAATCGAAATTTTTTGCGAAAACAAACTTCTCCACAGTAAGTTAAAAAAAAATTATATAAAATAAGTAATATATCTATCTATTGCTAAATCTATTTTATCTATTTCTATTACCTGTCGATATAAAAACGACTTTCCCTTAAACTTTATATCCCAGTAGTCAAAATAATTGGAAGCGTTATTGAAAGGCAAACTGGTGCTAGTTGATTTCTCTATCGAGACTTCATGTATGTATCTCAATGTGTGGACTGGAGGAGATCCTTTTGACAATTTTGTCATGAAAGTTCTAAAATCATGATAGCCTTCAAATAATTTGGCTGCTTTGCGGAAGGCTTCTACATCAAACTTGGGATTCCTAAAGAGTAAAGGATAATTAATAATTAGTATATATTAATATGTTGTATCATTCTATTTTTTATTCTATTTATTATACTGTTGTATTATTCTATTTATTACTTACGGAATAAATATACATCTATTCTGTTCTTCGATGGGTGTTTCAACAAACTATTGCAAAATAGTAGGTCGATAGTTATTTAAT